AAATCCCATATCGAAGTCTCAATCCAGAAGCAAAACAAGGAAGTTTATTTTTATAGATGCTACTAAACGTTTAAAGCATTTAAAAATATTTTTAAAATCTACACCAATGACTAAACCTTGTTCCTGTCTCTAGCATGCATGCAGAACCAATCTCCATCCATCCCCAGGGGAACGACAGCTATAGTACCTGTAAGGAGTTCATGCTTTATTAGTCAAGTGGAACATTAATAAAACCCAGCCCACTTCATAATTTCCAGAATACTCATTAATTAAAAAAAATGTTTATTGGAATAGAAAACAAGTATTTGATTAGCTTTGTTACAGAACAATAGCTCTCCTAATTTTTATTCTGCATATTTTATTCTTTGTTTAGAAAATTCTCTTAAGAAGCAGTTGAGATAATTCACTTTTTAAAACTGTACAGTTTCTATGGTTTTGCTTTTTAAATGAGTACACTTTGTAGATTTGATTATTATATTTTTTCTGTTAAGATTACATTGGGCATTACAAAAGCATTCCCTATCACAGTGAAAAGAAAGCTATCCTATTGGTTTATTGTAAAAGAAAAAAAATAATTAAAATTGCAGAGCTGTGCCATAGTCAATCCAATTAGAGCATGACTCTTTACTACTCTTCATTTACCACATTAGAAATAAAATAAAGTTACACCAGCAAGATTTCATTTGAAGCTGTTCTTGCATGCTGTTTGTACTGTATTTGATGGCATAATATTGTTTTGTTTACAATCTTTTCTTTCTTGTCATTCTATTATATCCTTTATATGTATATAGTTTAAAAAAAAAATTATACAAACTATTTTGTTCTACCTCTGTAAGAATCATATTTGTGAATAAAGTCACATTGTCTGTGGAGTAAGGTATTGCGAATACAGCATTAACAGCTGGTGCTTTGCTTTTCTTTGGGGGGTGGGAGTGGTACCTCTGTTCATTGATGGGTTCTGCATATCCAAGGTGGGCACACAGGGCTGACAGAGGGACACAGACATCCCGCTGGCAGCTCAGAAGTGCACGTTTAATCTGCACTAAGTAGAAGAGCTTGCAGCCACCTCTGCCTTGGGTGTGTGGCCTGGAATGCTGCAGTTTTCAACATTTTGATCAAGCAGGCTCCTGTGTTCAGAAAGTGAAGCAGGCAAAGAAAGGACTAAATTATGGCAACACTCCTTGTGCGATCCAGAAGTGAAAAAAATTGGCCTATAGTGTGTGTCCCAGACCATAAAAGTTAACAAAAGGAACAAATTATACCCTCTTCCAGGAAAATTAAAGGTAGGAAAATGTGTTTGAGGAGGGAAGGTTGGTGGATCATAGCATCACATAATGGGTGGTAAAGGCTGCCTAAGGATTTATGGTTTTAAAATAGTAGCAGGATTCACAGAAGAATTTGAATGAGTAATAGAAAATGCTCACTGTTATATTAAATAAGGTTAAGAGGAATGAAGTCAAAGGTTCCCACATAAGCACAGTATAAAATAACCAGTCTTTTCCCCAGGGGATTGGAAGTAATTTTCCCGTCAGCACTGTCCACTATATAAAGGTTTGTGTCTTTCCAAGAAATATCTATTGTTAGCAGTTATAAGAGGCAGTATTTAGGATTAGACAGCCCTGGTTTGGCGACTTTCGTGGTCCTGTATTGTGTGTTAAAATTTCACTTGTGTTTTGAAGAAAACTTTAAACAGCTTGCCACTTATGCAGAAATAACTAGAAACATGTAAATAGCAAGGTAAAAATCGTCCTCGTCCAGCACACTCCCTTTCCATCAGAAGAATTACATTTTACATTCTTTAACCTTGTTTATGTAGTTGTGTGTTTTAATAGCTATGCCTTTCTCAGTGTAAGGTGACTTTCATCTTGGAAGCAAAATATATGCACCATTATAGCTATTTTCCTGGTGGTGTAATTTAGGAGGTCTTTCATCTCCAA